AAAGAAAAAAAAAAAAAAAAAAAACCATTAAGTGGAACTGGAATTTTGAGGGCCACATAGGTAACCAGTCGACCCTAAGCACATAAGAAATACCTCAAGACTGGATATGGGGACAGGACAGAGCTGTGTGATACAGCCTCCCATACCCTGTACCCTAATTCAGTCCCTGGTACGACAGGGAGACACAAGTCTCTTACTGCTGAAACCAATCAAAACATCAACTTGAATACAGAATTCCTAGGTTTCCTATAAAGGAGCCCACTGGGGTAAAACTGGGAAAATGCTTACATTAAAATGTTATTGCAAACCCTTTGTAAACAGGATTGAGAGACCCCCTTGAACCACATGGAGCTCTGAGAGGAGCAGGCTCTACACTCAGCTGGGTTGTCAGGTGGCCATCCCCAAATAGGAACAAACTAAATCACAGGGTTCCCGGCCCCTCCTCGTGAAACCTCAAACACCTGCATCTTGGTCTCAGCCCTTATACTCCAATCTTAGAAGGAAAATACAAAATAAAAACCAGCTCCTCAAAGTCGACTAAGCTCTGTTAGAGTTACTGCAGTTTAGCTGGGGGCTAACAGCTCGGACTCTGGGAACAGATAATTTTGGTTCAGAGCACCTTGAACAAGATACCTAACCTCTCGAAGCCTCAGGTTTTTCATTTATAAAATGGAGATGGTAAGAGCATTGACTGGTAAGGATGAAATTAGTTAACTCGTGCAGACGCTGGTTCTAATGCACAGCACACAGGAAGAGCTCAGAAATGTCAGCGATTCTTCTTCTTTGCCCACTGCCTTCTTATCTTTTATGCTTACAAGAAAGGTTAATGGGCATGCATAAAGTGACAAATTTCAAATTTCATGCATATTCTGTTATTACTTATTTGACCACCTGGAAAAGCTCAAAATATACCAATCTGCCCTTGAAATAAGGATAACTTTCCATAGGCAACAGAGTCAGCTCAAAGGAATCCAACCCACAGGATGGGCTGCGCTGTAATCTGGAGAAAGACACGGTGTGTGTTTACAGAAATGTGTCCGCTACGCAACACGTGCAGTGTGAATTCTCCAAGGCTGAGTTCAATGTGGCCATACTTTTCAGCTGATCTCAGTGGAGACAGTGACAACTGAAAAATGACAGCATGCAATCATGTTCCGAAAGGAAGCAGGATGGGGAAATAAGTGCAGAGGGTGACTAGACAGAACTCGCCTCACGACCACGGGACTGCGCACTGATAAAATCAAAGAGCAGATTAGATGCTCTCAAAGGACTCTTTGAGTTCTAAATTCCTTCGATTTTCCCAAAATCTTATAAAGGGACTTAGGTCAAAAGGCAAGAGGAGAATAGCGAAGTTGCTGGCATACTGGAGCCTTTCATTTCTTCACAGAGCATCAGTGAAATCTTACCTTTGGAGGTAACGCCGTCTTCCTTGGAAAACATGTGTCTTTAAAGACACTTTAAAAGTGATCCAGTATACCTCAGCTTAAGTTCTAAATAATGTACCCAAATGATAGAATATGATATCGTTATTTAAAAATACTGTTTACAAAGGGTTTGCAAGAACATTTTAACATAAGCATTTTCCGTCACTAACTGAAGAAAAGGATGTAAAATTGGATGCAAAATCTGACCTCAACTACACAGAGTCCAAGATGCTGACAGCGGTTGCTTCTGCACGACACAATTAGGGATAATTTTTTCTTTGGCATCCTCTCACCCCCCCACGACTCAGTAGCTTTTTACATAAGCATATATTACTTTCACAACGAGGAAAAATTATTTAAATAACATTTAAAATTATTTAAAAACATTTAAAATTATTTAATAAAATTATTAAATAACATGGTGCAATTAAAATTGCACCAAATCATATGAAATACTCATAGGATTTGCAGAGATTTAAGAAGTTGGGCTTTTACTGGTGGTGGTAAATAACAGCAGTTGGGCCCCAATCGCTGTTCCCTGACTCTCATTCAATGAGGTACATACAACCGCGCCTGCCACATGTCAAAATGCCGTCGACTCATGATCACTCGGAAACTGATGAGTCAGGCTGTGGCTGCTCCAAGCCCTCTTTCTTCTCCCCCTCCTACTGTCTGCGTTTGGGTTGGGTTTTGTTTTTTGCCGCTCATTAGTTCCCCCACGCTGTGGCTTAAGGAGCCAAGCTTGTGTCTATCAGTGTTCTTCCTTTCTAACAGTTCTGGTGACAAGCCTTGGCAAGGGAGAAGCTGAAAGCTTCTGAATAAAGGGATTTGAAGATTATCAGTGGCTTCCGAATCATCCACACGATTCTGGGTCTTCAGGATTCTGGGTAAATTCAGGGGCTGCATCCAATGATCTGTACACAGGATACAGGAGGGAGGCTTGGGTACCACCGAGCTGCCCTAGGGAGCCTGGCGGGCCAAGTCAGCTCAAGTTCATCCCTCATACCCTTCTCCTGAGTGAGAGAAGTTCTCTCTTACTGGGGCCTGGCAGGGGTGAGTGTTAATTTCCAAGAAGTTACCATGCCAGTGAGGTATTCCCTCAGTCAGATAGTCCGCCTTCTTCTCAGGCTGGGACTCTTTCCCGAGCCTCTAGGAAGCCTGACTCACCCCAGGAGCATGTGTCCCCCCGCCCCGGGGCATGGACCCCTATTCTCAGGTCTCCCACTTGTCCCTGCAATGCTCAGAGAGTGGTTCTGATGTCTGCAGCAGAGGCTGCAAAGTCAGTGTAGCATGGGGGATCTTAGTGCAGTCTCTGAAGTCATTCCGGGTTCATATCCCTGCTCTGCCCTTGCGTGACCCTGAGCAAAATCATCCCATTTCTCTGGGCCTCGATTCCCTCATCTGTCAAATGGGAATAGCAGGCCTGCCTCACCGGGTCAGGGAGAGGACTGAATTTGTTAGAAGATGTAGAGTCACTTGGCATCTAGGAAGCACTGTGGAAATGTTAGCAGTCACAAAACAAACAACAAAAAGCTGCCTTTGTTACTCAAACCCTTAAAAAAACATCGAGGCCACACAGGTGGCTTCTGAATGGGTACCCCATGCAGACCCCGGGGGGTTGGAGACTTCAGTGGGCCATGGCCTCCTCAGCAGCGTGAAGCTGCAGCCTGGTGCCCCTCACTGCAACATCGCTAAAAGCTGGCCAGCTGCATGCAGACTGCTGGGGAACAAGCAGGACAGGCAAAACCAGGCCGTCCCATGGGAACTATTTATAGACGAGTGTTCCTTCACCTCCAATTCACCATGTAGCAGTTTGATTGGCTCGGCTTTGGGGAAACAGTGTTCTTGTCAAAACACTCGTCAAAAACATCCCAAATCTGAAGAGATAATTGGTGAGGAGGCCCAGAAAGGCTTGATGGAAACTCCTGCCAGGCAAATGGGTCCAATAAGCCTGACCAGGTTGGTGGTGCTACGGACGTCACCGAGTGGCTTGTGCAGAATGACGGATGGGTACTTACCCTTCCCCAGGAAATAACGCTAACACAACAGGAACGATGATCAATGTATATTTTAAAAGACTGTGCATACAAACAAACTCCCTCCCATATGTTACTGGGTTTCCTCCAAAGAAAACAGATTAAATCAAATGCCTACCAGGCACTCAGCACTGTATTAGGCTGTGGGAATTCATGGCCCCCTTCTCACGAGGCTTAAAATCAAGCTGGGAAGGCAAGACAAACACCAGCGATAAGGTGAGGTCTCCAGGCAAGGCATTTGGAAGGAGTCATAAGAAGGACCTGGATCATGAGTATTTCAGAAGATAAGAGGGGAGTAAGGTCACTCCAGGCTTAGATGTCATCAAAGAGGAGGTGGGGTTTGAGCTGTGCCAGAGCTTAGATACGTAAGGTTCCGTAAATAAGAGAAAAAAGCAAAAAGCATTTCAGGCTGGGGGTACACTGTGAGCAAAAGTGTGGAAACAGGATCATATTTGGAAACAGGATCAAACAGGAACAAGTAAATGGGTTTGGCTTGGGGATGGGTGGGGGTGGGGAATACATGTGCAGAAGACAGAAATAGAGACCATCAGAAGAGGAAAGGCTTTTCTGGGTTGTCTAGTAGAGCTGTATTTTACTAATAAGTAAACAGAGGCTCAGAGAGGTTAAGCAATTCACCTAAAGTCACACAGCAAGTGATCTATGGGAGATTAGTTGGGAAACAGATCTACTATTATTCAATTAAGAATCTGAGCTGAGAGTAAATGGACTGGCTGCAGAGAGGCAAAGGAATCTCAGCCTTTTGTCATACAAATAGTGCAGATCCTGACCAGGAATATTATTGCAGACCACAGAAGATCTTCAACAAATGCTTGCTGATGGCATTGAGAAGATGACCACTACATCACTTCAGACAATTTGGTGTCTCTCATTTTATTTTCTCCTCCTTCCCTCTTCCCCTCTCAAAAGTGAATAAAACCCTGCACTTGACCGGGGTATATCCATACAGTGGGGAAAAAATAGTCCTCTGAGATGAAAGTCAAGAGGAGTCTCAAAGGATTTTAGATCTCTAACCTCTCTGTGGTGTGTGTGGGTACAAAGGGCAGAAAACAAACCCCCTCCGTGGGTGGCAGGTGGGCTGGAGGGAAGGAACACCTGTTTTTTCTTCTTTTCAAGCCCTGTAATCTCTCATCTCTTTGAAGTTGTGAGAAATCAGGTGCTTTGTACATTTCCATGATAAAGGAGCCAGAACTAAGAGGTTACATGTCTTAGGAAGGTGAGTCAGGGTTGGTGTAGGGACCAGACCTCTGTTTACCTCACCCAAGCAGCTTATGAGGAAGGAAGGAAAAATATCTTGGCGCACTTCTGGGCAGCAAGGTAGCTGGTATTCATTACATGGCCAGGGGGTGTCTTACACACACAAATTCCAGGTTTTCCTCCAGGCCATTTCTGGGAGTCTCTGAGGAGTTCACAAAGTTTTTGGTTTGGTCCCATGCGTAACCCAGAAGCATTAAAAAACTTTTTTAAAGGCATAAAATGTCACTATTAAAATAGACATTTGAAGAAGGCACAGAAAACCAACCTTAAGTAACTGGCCACCTCCAGTCCCCAAGAATAAAACAGTCCTGTTCATTACCACGGTGCCATAAACGGATGTCAGGTCGGAATGGATCACGGTAGATGATGCAATTGGTTGGACTCTTTCAGGTGGATCCCCTTCTTTCTGAACATGCACACAAACGCACACAAAAAAAATAACAATTTTGAACAATGATACTTCTCATTATACTGATAAAATGTCACTTACGCCCTCCTAGGCAGGATCCCATATACTTTTTCTTTTTTTCTTTTTTTTTGAGATGGAGTCTCACTCTGTTACCAGGCTGGAGTGCAGTGGCGCGATCTCGTCTCACTGCAACCTCCCCCTCCTGGGTTCAAGCGATTCTCCTGCCTCAGCCTCCCCAGTAGCTGGGACTACAGGCACCCACCACCACACCCAACTAATTTTTGTACTTTTTTTTTAGTATAGATGGGATTTCATCATGTTGGCCTCCATGGTCTTGATCTCCTGACCTCGTGATCTGCCCGCCTCGGCCTCCCAAAGTGCTGGGATTACAGGCGTGAGCCACCAGGCCCGGCCTACATTTTCTTAGATAAGATTCCCCGGGAACAACCCTTCATTACCTTGCAAAATTACCATACCTGCCCAACCAAAGAAAGCCCCTGTTTACTACGTATGAACAGGTATTCAGTGCCAGAGTGAGCTGGCCACCTATTTAACAGCCCCCAGCTGGTATATGAAGCTGAATTCCACTTTAGTGCCAAGTGACAGCCCACCGCGGAATTGGGAGGCAGACTCTCTTACACTTGGCTGTTTTCAAAATCCTGCCGCCAATTCATTTTAGCTAGGCGTTGGCTTCTGTGAGGTTAAACACAAACATTTCCCAAGATGTGACACGGATGATCCTATCGGGTGTGACGGCAGAAAGGAGGGATTCTGGGCTTACAAAAAGGGACCGCAGAAAGCCCGAAGACAGGGTCGCTAATTCAGGGGGGAAAAGGCAAAATGCGCAGTCGTGGACTATGGGTAGGATGGAGCCACAGAGCTAAGGAGGAACCAAGGCGAAGGGCTGGCCCTGGTGCTGATGCTTTTAAAGGGGAAAGCACAAAGCCTAACTGGCAACCTGAAGGCATTTAAATTGTCTGAGGCTCTGAGCACATGTAATCATAGGCTTGCTCCTGATCGTTAAACAAAGCCCCTCTTTAAACCCAGAGCAGAGAGAGTGTCGACCCAAATGTCTTTTTCTTTTTGGTTGAAAAGGAATGAAGTGCTTCATGCTGCGCCCTGCCTTCAACGACAGGAAACTGAGTTTGTTACACAAATCTTTGGAAGATATGGAGCTAGGAAGAGCCGTTGCCGTCTGCAGCTAGTGAACACAGTGTGATAGCACACTTTATCTGCCAGAGCTTAGTTCCCAACTGTACTAAGGTTTTTAAAGGCACATTGAAGTTGTAGCCAGCAAACTTCAGTAAGCAACACTGCAACTCCTAAAATCACCCTGTTTGGGGAGGGGGAGGTGGCCGCTCAGAGGCTAAGACTTATTAACTTCATTATATTATTGCCAACAGTGTTTATGTCTTTCAATTTATGTCTTATTAAATATTCATTATTTTTAAACCCACCAAGTTTCATTAACATCTAAACTAAATGGATTATGGGCTAAATTGATTTCTGAAGCCTTTAAAGTGCCGTCTATATTTCTTTGTTGAAGTTGCGCTGCAAGGGAAAGATAAGCCAGCAAGGATTCATCCAGTGCCCTGATCACTTTTCAAGCAAAAGATGTCACAACCTAAGAGAAAGCGACGTTTTTGCATTAAATATTCTATAGTGAACTTGGTTTAAGAAGATTTGGGGAAAACTCATTAGAGTATTTTTTTTTTCTTGTTGAAAGATACTTTTCATGCAATATGGGAAGATGAGGAGCTGTCCTGTGAAAATTGAAGGGAAAAAAATTATCTGTGAGTCTAAGGATTGGAACAATAGATCATTATTTAGATAAGGAAGCCTCATGACTATAAGTAGGAAAAGAAAAATCAGATGACCTTTAGGATTAAAGAAAAATAAGTTAAACCACGCCACACATCTTGCTTTAAAATAAATCCAGAATTGTTCAAACGGATCAGCTGACCATGCTTGTTATTTTTATTAAATATCTGAGCACTGCAGAAAGGCTAATGCGGAGAATAGGGCATCATGTCTGCCCTGTTATCCAGAATGTTCTAATGTCACTATCTCTGGCTGGAGGATTCCATTCTGCTTCATGTCACAACACAGAAAAAGTAATGAATGTGGACTGCAGGTTACCCACAGGGTCCAGATGGGACAGCGTACATCCAGGTTTGGTATACAGTAGGTGCTTAACACTGTACCTGTTCTAATTCACCAAGAACCATAGGTAGGTTTTCCTGAGGTGGGATGAGAGATCCTGTTTGTAAAAGACTGGCTCCAAAAACACAGAGGCAGCTGAAAGGGAACAAGGAGAAATCTGTCCCAAATTACCATCTCACCCTTCCCAATGTCCTTCTGTGATTTCTGGCTGCCCTCAACAATTGTAGTTTTTCCTTTTTTGAGATGGTGTTTCATTCTTGTTGCCCAGGCTGGAGTGCAATGGTGCAATCTTGGCTCACTGCAACCTCTGTCTCCCAGCTTCATGCTATTCTCCTGCCTCGGCCTCCCAAGTAGCTTGGATTACAGGCATGTGCCACCTTACCTGGCTAATTCTGTTTTTTAGTAGAGACGGGGTTTCTCCATGTTGGTCAGGTTGGTTTCGAACTCCCGACCTTAGGTGATCTGCCCATCTCAGCCTCCCAAAGTGCTGGGATTACAAACATGAGCCACCCCGCCCAGTCTGTAGTTTTTTCAAAGTAAGTCCGGGATCAATAGTAGAGGTAACTGAGGCGAGAGGATTGCTTGAGGCCAAGAGCTGGAGACCAGCCTGGGTCAGCAAGACCCCCATCTCTACAAAAATAAAAAATTAGCTAGGTGTGTGGCACACACCTGTTGTCCCACCTATTCAGGAGGCTGAGGCAGGTGGATCGCTTGAGTCCAGGAGTTCCAGGTTACAGTGAGCTACGATTGAGCCACTGTACTCCAGCCTGGACAACAAAGTGGGAGCCTACCTTAAAAAAAGGTAGCAAAGGTACATGGTGCAGCCATTAAATCAACATTCTCAAATTTGAGAGAACGCACCACCCAGGACTTGTTTGCATTGGAGCTTGGTTCTCACTCACTGGGTGACCCGGGCAATTCATTTAACCCTGTGACAGGTTGGCTTTCTAAACCATCTAATAAGGCTGATATGTCTGACTGCTCGGGTGGTCACAAAAAAGAGATGATAATAGTAGTAATAATAATAATACCAGCTAACATGTATTAACACTTACTGTGTGCTACTTGAAGTGTTTTATCATCTTACCTAATAAAGGCAGTATAGCGTAGCGAGCTGGAACACCTAAGTTTGACTCCTGGCTCTTGTCACTTTTTAGCTACATAATTTTGTACATGTGATTTAATCTCTCGGTGACTCAGTTTCCTCTTTCCTCCTCTATATGGTGTAAATGATGTTAACAGCACAGAATTTTTATGCCACAGACTTTTTATGAGGACCGGATGGGTTAGTGCATAAGCCTCAGTAACCCTTAGAACAGTGCTTGGCACATAGCAACACATAACCCATGCTTGCTATCATCACTTCATTTAAAAATGCAAGTTACTGCCACATCCATGGCAGTTATTTCCTCTTTGCCAAGAAGAACCCTAATTTTGTTGAGATAGCAAAGAACCCAAGCCTGGTGGAAGCCATCGTTGGGTCAAGCCAAACGGCAACTCCATTTCCTATTGCCAGACACTGGTTTTCCTAACCCTTAGAGCTAAGGGTGGTCATGTGACACAGTCCTGGGCAGGGAGAGGTAAAAAGTCCACTGGAAGGATTTCTGGGAATAAATTTCCTCCTTGATCATAGAAGGCTTTAGAGGAAAAGCCATTTGCCCGCATCCCTCACTTCCTCCTCTGGAATACAGTTGTGTGATGTCACCACGTGCAGACTCGTGGTAATCATTCTGTTTCCATGAGATTCCAGACGAAGGATGGAAGACAACATGCCAATATGGGTGCAGGGAAAAGAAAAGAGACATCTTTTCTTTTCCCTTCCGTTCCTCAAGAAACCTCTGAGCCTCAGATCTCCAATTTACAACCATTTTACTACGTTAACAACAGTTGCCATGGTTTAAGCCACCGTTGGTTGGGTTTTCTGCTACTTGGAACCAAAAGCAAGTCACTGTTTGAGAAATGACAATCGCAACCTGTTGGAGTAGATACTAAACTGCAGCTCTTCCTCAGCTGCAGGGACCAGAACGTGGACAAGAGCCTGTTCCTCTCACCACCCTGGAGGACCCTGGCCACAGTCAGGATTTTGTAGCCAGTTACAACAGCGAGCCTGGAAGAAAATGGGAGAGGAGGCTCAGACCTCATGAAAACTCTAGGGGCTGCTCTGGCTGAATGGAAATGGATTCTTTTGTGCTGGAAACACACAGAAATGGACAGGTCCCTGTGAATGGGAAAAGGAACCCTTTGAATGGCTTTCTTATGCTCATTGCAGCAAATGAAAACAAAAGAAAGGCAGGCTCCTGAGAAACGTCCTCATAAAAATGAGGTTAATACCCAGGGAACCAGGCAGAAGAAGAGGGGAAACAGTGCCGTCAGCCCCCTGTGACCAGAGATTATTCTTTCTCTCTTTTTTTCCGGCCTATTTTCTATCTTGCCCTTCTCTCCCCTTAGGGCATAATCGCTAATGTTGCTCTCAGCCTATTCTGTCTAGTTTATTATGTGTAATTTATTTCTGAATCCCAGCCTCTGCTTGTTCGTCTGTGTGTAACAAGGTTAATGCCTTGTAATGATGCTTTTGCCAGTTCTGCCTTTCATGACAAAATCCAATCTTGATTTTGCTCTAAACCTTGTCTCCCCTTTGGGCTTTCTTGGTTCCCTCAGAGTTGTCACTCTGCTTCTCCTTCCTGCCATGTCTAAGCATAACGTCACGCCTACACGTTTGCCGGCTCTAAGAGGGAAACTTTTCTCAGTTGGAGGAGAAAGCTACCTTGGCTCAAACAATGTTTGGGCTGAAAGAGAGAAAGAGCTTTGGGCCTGATACAGCAAACTAGGACCAA